CCCCCAAAAAAAAAGTTTTATTTGGATACCATGTATTCTCTAAGCCCCTTTTCTTTATAACAGAATGTCAAAGCTGCTGAATTCATGTATGACATGGATTCCCATGCAATCTAGGCAGGCTAATTGAAGATATATTTGGTAAATCAACATACGTGTGTGGCAACACCACGATTGTTTTGATGATTGTAATGTATGCGGTCAGCTTTCTTCAACAACGATCAGCAACACAAATAAGCTTAATTAGACTTAGGCTAGAAACTATCGAGTGCGAGTCGTGAGTTCAGATTCTATTCTACGACATGAAATGAATACCAAATAACGCAACAGTAAACAACTATGATGAAATTATTTTTAAAATAAATTTTTGTATTTCTTGGCTGTTTTTCTGTGTTCCCACCCGAAGCAAAAAACTTTACTCGGTAAATGAAAATTGTAAGTTTTGTAAGATAATCACGTATAGAAAGAAGTAAGAACAAAAAGCCCCCGGTTTTTATTGTATTTTTTAAAAATAATTTGTTTATTAATTAATTATTTATTTAAATAATTACATATTTATTTGTTTATTTATTTTTGTTTCACGGCACCCCCAGGCATCAAATGTTTTGCATACGGATCCACTGCACTGCATCCAATTCGTACAGTAGTAGTTCTAGTACATGTAGAACCAAGCTGCTTCCACTTCCAGATTTTGTCCCCGACCTCTGCTGTGGGAAAAGTGGGGAGGGGGGCGTCCCTTGAGGCTTCCGTGCTTCCCTATAAGCCCTTCGATTTGGTCATCTCCGTGTTCACGTTGGTTTCCTTGTTTCCGTTTTCCCCCTGGAATCAAACTGATGGCGATTCTGGGTATGGCTGTGAGTCAGGAGCAACATGCCCAGGATACGTTCTAGAAGCCGGTACCTTAATAATCTTCGTAACTTGACTTCGTGGTCTCCAGTGGGAGACAGGATTGATTGCACTCCTCATGGACATATCATGTTCGAGGAGCGTGTTGAAACAAGGAATCGCTACCTTAGAATATTACAAAGTTCGATCTGACATTTTTTTTTTCGAGTTGGGGCGGGGGGGGGGGGGGGGGGCAGTTTCGAGTTACCAAGACCTCGAGGTCAGAAACCAATTACTTTTCAAAAACCTATCTGCTCTAACAAAATCGTAAGATTTTTCGGAGTCGTTATCAAGATATTCAAAGAAGTGCATTTGACAAAAAGCTTGACATGTTGTGAAACGCGTTTTTTTTTTCACATCAAACTCAAACTTCTCAAAAGTAGGACCTACTGATCAGCGGAGAGAACTTTGTAATTCTAATGTATCGTTTATTCAAGTAAAGAGAAACACATCGACACAAGAGCAGCCATAATCTAGTGCATGGAAAGGGTAGGACAGCATGGCGGACAGAAATAACAAAAGGAGAGAAAAGAAATTAGGATCTACCCGTGACATTTTCCAACCACCCACTTACACCGAATAAACCCCCATGTCAATTTGGAAAAGGTTTTGGAAAAGAGAGAAAAAAAGGAAAAGAATACGTCCCCACTGATCTGAGATATAATAATAAAGAAGTATACTAATACTAGTGCTGTAGTTGGGGATATAATATAGGTGACCAGACAGGCTCGGGGTTGCTAGAAGAACACACATCCTTTTGTGGGACGGTCGGAAGAGAAACGGCGAGGAACGAATCTATCCATCCTGGTCCATTTGGTGATGGTGCCCCAACAAAATGGGGTAATTGCAGTAACAAGAAAATGTCCCGATCAAATTCTCCACTTTAATTTATTTTCTATCTTTAATCTAATTTCAAACTATCTTTTATTATTATTTTTTCCCCTCTAGATTCTCGTCTCACAGTACTCACACACTCAAAATCAAAGAGAATCTCAAGTTGCCCAAACAACGCAACGCCAGCTAACTAGCTGGACCTAGAATCTGGCCACACGTTTCAGCTTGCCCAAGTCGTGCTCGGTTTCACGACTTCGGTCTCGGGAAATTTGTCGTGGGGTGCCAGCTCAACTGGTACCGGGCTTAAACTTAAACCACAGTGAGTGCTAGTGACGACTAGTAGTAGAGTGTGCGCCAGTCATGCCGACTACAAAATAGTGTCCGTGCCTGATAAACGATACTTATATTATAAAGAGCACGTAATGAGAAACTAAATGAAAGATTTCTCGATACATTCAGTAACTGCAGGCTTTATAATAGCATTAATTTAAAAAAACCGACATCTTTCTTATTTAAATAGTATTTCAAAAGATTTCTTTCTTCTCTGAGCATAAAAAGTACTTTGCGCGTCAGCAACCAAAAGAAAAAAAAAAAGAAAAAAGAAAAGAAAAAGAAGAAAAACTGGTGAGATCCGATACTTGAAACAGTACACGGTACCGTGTTCTTAGAAGGACCGCCCGAGGAGCATCAGACAGCCTGGTGCTGGGGGAGGCCGTTCTCCGCCATGATTTCTTAGTTCCCTGGCGCGCTTCTTCCCCGACAACGACGTAGATATTGATTTCAGCTTTCATAACATGTGCGTGTTTGTTTGCGAGCGTGTGTGTGTGTGAAAGAAAGAGAGAGAGGGGGGAGGGAGGGGGTGAGAAAGTGTGTGTGTGTGTGTGTGTGAGAGAGAGAGAGAGAGAGAGAGAGAGAGAGAGAGAGAGAGAGAGAGAGAGAGAGAGAGAGAGAGAGAGAGAGAGAGAGAGAGAGGGAGGGAGAGAGAGAGGGGGCGAAAAAGTGGAAAGAGAGAGAGAGAGAGAGAGAGAGGGGGGGGGGGAGAGAGAGAGAGAGAGAGAGAGAGAGAGAGAGAGTCAGAGAGAGAGAGAGTGTGTGTGTGTGTCAGAGAAAGGGGACGGGGCAGGTGGCGTTTTTAACGAGTTGTTATCCCTTCGGTCATCCCACATCAGAAAGAAGGCAGCAAACTAATAATATTATTTTCATATAGCCGACGTGTCACTTTCTGTAGCCCTTGTTGACTTCCTTACAAAGTCTCCTATGGTCTTAGCGGCTATCGTGGCGATCGCGAGACTCGTCGCCTCAAAAACAAACGTGTTTCTTTTCAGGCAACGAGTCGGGCGAGCGGTTTGTATTAGAGAACCGATCCCCAATGGGCATTCCGTATTAAACTTGAAATCCGATATCATATATCTATCTATATATATATATATATATATATTATTATTATTACTGGGCTGCCCTGCTCAGTTCCCCTGTTGGCTCGTAAACTGTGTAGTGTCAATAGAGTTGGCCGCATTTCTGTCCCAGGGCCCTGTGTGTCCTGCACTGCTACAGGATCACAGTTTGATTTTGATCCATTTCTCCACACCAGCACATATATAAAATATACCGGTACATAAGTTGTCCGAGTTTTGTGTGTTGTGTTCTTGGTCTGAAGATAGTCACTTGTTTTGTGTCCACATACTGTACAGTATGGTGAAGAATCTGTGACCAAACAGGGTCAGGAGTGTAGACAACCTTCAAAACTCCCCAGACCCAAAGTCTTATCTATGAAGATTTGATCCTGCTAGTCCAGAGATTTAACCGGAACGAAAACTCTGGCAGAGAACGTCAAGACAGTATGGTACAAGGTGAGCCTAAATTTGCCCTTCTTAGCATTGTGGAAGTAACCATGAGTATGGCGTATAGCTGATATTGTCACATTACTATTCAAGATTACACGTCCACGTGTGTTGTTTTTGTTTTGCTTTGATAAGAGTTTTACGGCACGTGCAACACAATAAGGTCATATAAGTGCTGAAGAATAGAGGGGTTACAAGAGTGTAACAAACATAAAGAAACAAGGAGAAATAAGGACAATAGATGTTTGACAGGAAAGGAGCAAGCTACACCAGAGCACCTGCCAACCACCCACTACACGTGTGTTGAACAAAATACTAGTGACATAGATTTAGACTACTATTTAAAAATTTATTTTTTTTTACCCCAAAAACAACAACATGAGGAGTGTATCTATTTTTCAAGCTAAAAACTGCATTTCCTGTCAGTAATGTTGACATTGAGCTCTCTTTCTGAACACAAGCGCAGAGAACGTGAAGGCACCAGGAGAAACATTCTGAAAACAAAAGCAGGTGGTAACACCTCTCCTTTGCTATTTATAGTAAGAATCCATGTCATGGCCAAGGTGAATTGTTCTCCCAGTAGCATGTACAAGCGTGTGTGTGTGTGTGTGTGTGGGTGTGTATGTGTGTGTGTATGAGAACGCACGCGCATATGTGTGTGTGTGTGTGTGTGTGAGTGCGTGTGTATGAGAACATGCGCGCATGTGTGTGTGTGTGTGTGTGTGTGTGTGTGTGTGTGTGTGTGTGTGTGTGTGGTGAAACACTACAATAATGAGCCAGAATCTGGATAATAATGATTAACCTTATTTTACTTGAAATTCCCCGTCTATGAGTTTACCAACTTCATATCATATAAGCACCAGGAGGCAGACTAGGACTATAGGAACATGGGGAAAGGAGGAAAATAAATACACACACCAGAGCACCAATCACCCATCCACATTTGCATGCTAAAGAGCTCCAACAAACACCAACACTCAAGTTACATAAAATTACCAAGATTTATTTCAACAATGCAACCAGTATTAATAAGTGTAGGGAAAAAAAAAAGAAAAGGAACTCTTCAAGGCATCGACTCATCTAATCGCATTTTCCTCTTTTTAGTCTTCCCTCCTTCTGAGTGATCTACTGACAATCTCCGTTTCTTTGAGTCATCTTCCTGTAATAAATGAAAATTCTCAGAGTGAAATTCAATTGTTCAAAGTGCAAATCTAAAGGAAATGGAAGTGTATTGTTGATTTCACTTTCAAGTCAAAACAGGTTCAAATACACAAATTATAAGACAAAATGTCAGCGCTTCAATTCACAAAACAGTTCAGGTATTTCAAAGAGTCTAGGCTCCAAATCAAGGCTGTCATTACTCTATGTATAAATGGCATGCCACATAAAAATGATATCTGAAGTGAGTGTTTGTACAGCTGAAGCTGCTCTGTGTAAGACCATGAATGTTCCACTTTAGCCCATCCTCAGACGGCAGTTTGCTATTGTGCTGTGTGCCATTACATTATAATCAACATTCTGATTGCACAACCACATTCAGGTCCACTGATGCAGCAGAAACAGCTGACTCCTTGACAGTACTGTGGCATGAAGCATGATTAAGTAACAGCAAATATAGTGCATTTTCTTCAACTTTATTGCCACATACAATTTAAATGAATGTGATATCCACATACAATTCTGAAGAAAAAAAAAAGATTTTTTAAAATAGAGACAGTGTTATTTACCACGCACATAGATAATTCATGAAAACAGATAACATGTAAAGGACCAAATAACCCTTTTGTGATCATGAGCCTCAATAACTCAACAACATCCCATTCAACAGGCAATACTTTCGAAAATACTTAAATATGGGAATACCCAAGAAGGCTTACCCTATTTTCATTTTGAAAAGAGAAAAAGTTAGCCTACCTAATTTACTGTCATCAACGTAGTGTCTCATTGGACAATTAACATCAAAGACAGTGTTCTTCTCTTTAAAGTCAGCACTTACTAAAAAATTCGTCCTACATTAATTATATCAGCTACCAAGTCATCACTTTGAACAATAATCACAAACTAACATATGTCACGACACGGTGGAATCAGGCACTTGCCAATTTTTGGGTATATATGGAGTTATTGGTATCATCTTAAAGGTTTTTCATTTGTCTTGCATTTGATAGGAAAAGTATCCATTTATCTTGCATAGAAGTCGAGATATTTGCAATTGAAGGAGGTGGGGTTGCCTGGTTACAGAAGTAAAATTAACAAGAAAATGGCCTCCAAAGAAAAGTGACTTCCATAGCTCAAGAGTCCTTGAAAACAATAAATTTACATTTTTCGTGCCTTTAATCAATGTTTTTCCATAAAATCCACACATAAGAAGGTTTTTGAATGGATATACAAGGTGTTGAGCCAAAAAACAAAAATTCCTAACTGGCCGAAAAGGCTGATTTCTTCAATTTCATAATTTTGACCAGCGCCCGATTTCCCCACGATGCCTCACATATTTTAAAGGAAGTCAAAAGGGGCTTTTTACATGCAAAGATAAAAGTATTAAGAGTTTGTAATGTTTTTTTGAGAAAATGAAAGGTAAAAAAATGGTAAGTCGCGGCTATACTGGTTAAAATAGTTCAGTTACTTGTAGTATCAGGTTAAAAATAAACATTGACAGGGCACTTTTTAACGCTGTAAAAAAAGTATTTTTATTGAAAACAAAAACTTGAAGAACTGAACTGAAGTTGTTTTGATTTTTTTAGCAGAAGACGTTACTAAATGTTACCAGCAGTTAATTTATCTGATTGAAGCATACAGAGAAATAAGCAGAAAAGTTATGTGAGAAGTGACATACTAACTACAGCTTGTATATCACCCTCTTTAAGACTCATTTCTCCTTTTGTGATTTTAGAGAAAACTGCTTTTTTTAGGTACAAAATCACAACAAATTCTTTCCAAAATCATTATTCCAATCTGAAGATCTCTTCTCCAACAGCCTATTGGAGGGACTACAAATATCACTACACTCTATAAAAATCGGAAAAACCACAACAGACTACTGCAGATAATAGAATGTGATTTAACGATAGCGATGATGGAAAACAATAAAGTTGAACCGCATCAGACTTTATTTTGTTTTTGTTCTTTAGCTTTCATTTACATTAAAGAATCAACATGACTAGGAGGGCAGAACAATAGAGGAAGAGAAGCAGGAAGAGAAAAAGAAAGGAAAAATGCTTCCCCGGCACAAGGCATCAGGTCATGTAACCTCTTAATTGTGAAAACCTTCCTGAGGAAAAAACGGGGCGGTAGCCTTTCCCACAAGAATACAGACCTAAAAAACACCCCACTCATAATAAGAAAGGATTAAAAGAATACAACACACACACACACCACACAGAACATTTTTGAGTTTCAACAGAACTCATTACATCAACAACAATCTCTCCCTAAATCTCCCTTAATGTTAGCTTTAACATTCTCCAACCATGTAAAATAAAAGAGAAAGGGCTTAGATTGTATAAGAAACTCAGAAACTGTTAAATTTAACATTATGAGTACTCTTAAAAGCATCATACTTGCACACTGAACACCACTAGCACAGAGAAATAAGACAGATTGTAGGGGAAATGTAACAGATTAAAGTGGGGGTTTTCATTTGTCATATATATGATAATTTCATTGGTCATATTTCTGTCTTTTCATATATTACAAAAAGCATGTTGTGTAACAATTTATTTTTCAAACAACTTTTCTGCACATAACACAAAAGAAATGACATGTCAAGTACAATGATTCCATTGTCTGAATTATCCTACAAATGCCTGCATTAAGTCAGAACCCTTAAAATCTATGCATACAAAAACCAAAATCAAGTCACCTTGTATTCTCAAATTACTTAAAACTTATAATATAATACCTGTCCTACCACAATATAAAGTCCATTTCTTTAAAATACTACACAGTGCTTAGACAAGCAGCTTAAACTGATTACATTTCAAGAAACAGTGTGCAAAAAAGTGGCATTTACTCCATTATCGTATTTTAAATCAGATCAATGTAGAGAAAGCACGTAAAAATCCAGATAGGAAAATAGCTGTATGATACATAAGTAAAAAATACAGACCACAGCTAATACAATGCATCATTCAGGACAAGCATGAAAATGGTAAAGACCAAAGCATACACACACTACAGTACAAAAACGGAAGCACAGCAGCAGAAGAGATCTACCTACCTTATCAGATGCATCCGGTCTCCGAGACTGTCGCAGGTTTTTGGAGTCTGTGCTTTGCATCATCATCTGTGTGTTCACATATTGCTAGAATACAGTAGCGATTGTGGATGTGAATGAGGGTGCTAGTGATGATGGTGAATGCCAGTGGTGCCTACCTACAAATTATAGCTACCAGAAACATAATAATATACATAACAAAAAGATTTTTTAAAGTCAAATGCGTTAAATTTAAGTCACAACCAAGTATACAGATATTACCAATCCTACAAAAAAATGGATAAGCTAATCATCGAGTCACTAAATCAAAATCTTATACAGAAAACTCGTTGAAAAGGGAAAGCTTCCTTATCACTTTCCAAAAAATATGATAAATAGAATGTAAATCTAAAGGCACCACTGGAGATAAGGAGACATAAATGACAAATGAAATTTAAAACAAAAAAGACTGAATTAAGCAAGCATGCCTTCATCTTGCTTCAAAATGTATAAAGATGAAGTCTCAAACAGACCATTCAAAATACAAAATCAATAAACATTTCAATTTACTCCATTCCTAGACAGAAAATAGACACATTAGTTTCAGGCAAGCATGCTAAAAAAGCAATCATTATCAGCAAAATGCCAGTCATTCAAAAAAACTCATACAAAGAGAATGTGGCCATAGTCAGCTCCATAGGCACAGAAAAACTAGTCACAACACCATCATTAAGACCCCAAACTGTTAGAGTTGTGACTATTGAACACAAGCTTCGCAATGACTCCACTGTCTCGATCCATCTCCGGCACCCATATTTTTGCCCTATTTGTCACCATTTTCCTTTTTTACACTCTGACCAGTAAACTACCATCAATTCAGAGAAATCCTGTAAGTAGACTAACTGGAATCAAAATTCTGATTTGCAGAAACACACAGAAACTAAATGGGACCAAACGCAAGTCACAACAACAGTTTTCACATAAAATGAAAAGAAAATAGAAGCCCCCCCCCCTCATTAACTCACTGAGCCCTGGGACAAGACGGAATCGGGATTTTATACTTTTGTTCAAGATGACATCTAATAATGCAATACATTTTTGGTATAAAGCTGTGTTTGAATCTCATTTTCCTAGCTGGGAATGAAGATTTTGGAAATACAGAAATAGTTTAGAAGAAAAACTAGAGGGTGATGGAATAAAAACTTCAAAAACTTTTTTGTAAATAATTTCCCCCACATTGAAGCCTTGCATTTCAAATTCGAACAAAGTGTGTGAAAGTCAAAAGGAATTTGGCTGATATTCTTTTAGACGATTCCATAGAATGGTTTTGCTCTAAATAACAAGACCCCCCCCAAAAAAAAACCCAACCAATTTTCAACAACCTTGTGTCTATTTTTTGTACATGACACACCAGTTCACATAAGGCCTACCACTAAAAGCTGCAACTGTCCCACCATACAGCAAGCTACAGCAGTGTAACACGCCAAAAGAAGTTTGCAGATACTATTTTTCTCGAGTTTCCTTAGCCTGCTGAGATCATGGTTATGTTTCGTAAAGAACAATGAGCTTTTAGTATCGATCATTACCTCACTACCACAACTCATCATCTCTCATATTTCGTAAGTTTTGCACAAGTTATCGAAAGAATGCTAAAGTGCCTTCACTCTTTGAACCCCATCAGACGCTGGAAGCGTCTGCGTCCGGCCATAATAACCCTGTTCCTCATCAGATGCTGGGAGCATCCAGTACTAGTGACAACTGTTTCGTTATATTTAGTGCTAGATTTTGCTTGTTCTTCGGAACTATTCGCGAAGTTTTTTAGTAATGACTAAGCCTTTGTTTAGGCTATTTAGAAGTTGGAGGCAAGCTTTTTGGGGTTATAATGAGACATAGTGCACTAGGTTTAAGTGACTGTAGAAAAAAAAACTCCGGACAACGCTGGAAAAAACTCAGGGCTTAAAGAGTTAAAGACCTTTGAATTAATGGGAAGGGAAGTTCCATTAGTTTGGATCAATAGTGAATCAGAACTAAAAATTCCCAAACAAAACAACCAATCCAGGTCGAATACACACCGTTCGCACCCCTTTAAAAATGTCTCCAGGAGTCCCATGAGACATCTATCCTACAACTCAACCGTCTACATTCTCAAGACAGATCTCAACCCACAAAGGTACAATTTTCATGTTCCTAGGCAAACATGGACCAGAGGATGACAATGTGTTCATGGTTCCTTAATCGTCTTGAAAAGCTTGAACATTTCCTCAAAGCCCACTTTCACCTCTCAGGATATGTTAACTTCATAATTGTTGTCTAACAATCCGATCCTTCAAAATATTGCGACCCCCCCCATCTCTAGAAGACCACCATTAAACACTATGAATGTGTGACGCGTTAAAATTGAGTCATATCCAAAGGAGAACAAATAAAGCACTGGTTCTAGGAATTGAATGAATAAAAATGTTAAGTTTTTAAAAACTCTTTTGGAGATGTAAAATATTGCTCAAACTGGGGAAGAAAATGAAATGTAAAAGAGAAAAGGAAGATTTTTTTTTTTTTTAAACCCAATCATTTCATGACTTTCCTTATAATATATTTCTTAAATTAGTGCATTTTGCATTTGTGGGTGTTTTTTAATAGAAAAACCTGTTTTTTAAAATAAGTTTCATTTTCATGGATTTTATGTCAAATAGATTCCTTTAGAATGAATCAAGTCTGTTCCAAATTACAATATTCCAGAACAATTTTTGAGCAAGATATTCTGAAAAAAAAGTTGTAACGTTTTTTTGGACCATCCCATACTTCCACTTTGGTGACCTACTAGAGGCTCAACGTCTTTTCATTTCACTTATTACAAAAAAATATTAGATCTATGGGTGTTTGAGAATTTTGCAAGACAGTACAGTATCATAATAATTAGGTAAAGTATAGATGTCTGGTCCTCATATTTTTGTGTTACAACAATTAATGTTTTGTATCATTTTCTATCACAGTCCGTGGGCAGAAATGTTTTCGGAAATTAAAAATAATGGGTATTAAAAAAATTTGAGGTAAAAGAAGTTTTACAGATAACTTAGTAATGCTGAAAGTAATAGAAAAAGGAGAAAAGAGTCATCTTAGCCAAAAATTAAGCCGGTAGCTAAGGTGAGAGGTGATCACCGCGATTCTGCACTGGGTTCAGAGAGTTAATTTTATGGATAAAGATAGTGCCAGTACTACAGGGCGCAATTAATTGCCTTTCCCATTTAGTCAATACTGAAGTCATACTTCTGCATTGCTCCTCTCTGGCTGCACAGCCCCCCTCCCCCCCCCCCCCCACCTTTTCCGCAAACAAAACACAAAAGAATGTACAATCTAGCAATCTGTCTTAGGGTTCACAGGCATATAATCAGATCCTCATCAAGAGCCAGATCTGTGACAGACATTAGCAATCGTGATTCGCCATTTATCCCTTTGCTCGAATGCTCTCAGAAAGATTAAATAATCCTGATCTTTCCCAGCAACCCATCTGTTAAGGATCTCCAAGTAAGTTGCCCTGGGTCTACCCATACCATGTTCACCTTCAATTTTACCAGTGAGAGCTAGATGTTCCGACTCTTACGTCTATCAAAATGCCCCCAAAACTGCATTCGTCTCTTCCTCATTGTTTTTATCAGCAAGCCCCCTACGTGGGCTTCAAGTACTACCTCAAACATTTCTTTTCTTTCCAAAATACTCTCAACAGTCTCGCAAGAAACCCCATTTCTCTTGCTTCTATCTTATTTTCATTATCTTAAGTCATTGCCCAGCATGTAATCAGAAACTGGGTATATTTAATGCAATGTCGAAACAGTCACGAAAGAAGGCTGATCTTTATTACAACAGCAATATATTTTCTTATGCTTGACTCAATTTTATTCTAGAACAATACTATGAGCAGCTACTATGAAGTTCACTCCAAAGCCTTCATAATCGCTTCACCATCCAGACTTCAATTACTAAGCATTACTAAGGGAAAAAAATCGTGAAACAACGAATAGAAAGTTTAAGTAAGCCTTATTTTTTTTAAAAGGGGAAGAATTACTGGATTGCCTCCTGACATACATGATTAGACCTGCATGTGAGCCTCAACCAGATTGTCTGAAAATTTTGCGCAAACCCCCCCCCCCCCCCCCATAAGAGCTTTTGTGGGTGTCATAGGGAAGGACTTCCGAGTAACGAGCGACCACCCGAACAAACACAATAAAGAAGAGACCTAACCCTACCCCTAGGCCTACCCCCAAAAAGAACCTGCAACAGGCCTCATATAAAAAGGCCAGGGCAAGTCTATAATGAAAAAAAAAAAAATTTTCAAACCACATTCCAATCAAAACAAACAAGGAGCATAATACCATCCATGGCCTAGATCTAGACCTAGATCTACAATGCTATAATTTATAATAGGGTTTGATACAATAAAACAATAGAATTGGAATATGAATCCTCCATATAGATCTAGAATCTAGATCTAGTAATCTAAATAAATCTGTGATCTAGATCTTGTAGCACAAGTGAATAGGAATAGGCCTTGAACTAGAAATCCGTATCCGATTCCGAACAGAGGGACACAGCTGAGTCTAGAATCTAAATTCTAAGGCTATATTTCACGCACCTGATGAAATGCTTTTTACCAACATTAATATTACAGCACAACCTATGATAGGGTTTGACACAATAGAATTGGAATATGAATCCTCCATTGAGGTCTATAATGATCTATAAATCAAGATCTAGATCTAGATTCTATTAGAACAAGTGAGTCAGACTTGAATGAATCCACACGATCTGAACAATTGAATTAGTCAACAAACGAAATTCAAAATGGCCGCTCGAGCACGAAACTGAAAGTAGATAATTTAGGTCGTCGTCTTTTTTCGTATTCGCATTTCTACTCAGGTTCCAACAACTATGTCGGAAACGCCGACGTCGGCAATCGGCACGGAAACGAAAGTGCCGACAAAGCCGACAGAAGAAAAAGGGGGCGCTGGCAGTCGGCCAGGCCTCGCAGGTTGCACATTGACTGATACAGGTGGGCCTAGCGATAGCATCGGCCGGCTTGCGGGTCGGGTCGGGATTGTCGGATTTCAGACGATTGTCGGCAAACATGCAGGTCTATATGATGTATTTTAAACTTTGCATCAAATCAAAGCTTTTCTGTAGTCAACAACCTAAACTCTATAGATCAACAAACACTATGGACAAAAAAACAACTTACCTCAATATGTTGCATTACATCATCATACATGACTTGAGCCATCTTGTACACATTGTGGTCTGACGAATTGTACATGATGGCGTTTGTGAACATAAGCATCATATCTCGCTGGAAATCCACAGTGGTGCGGATGATACCACCCTCTATATTTTTTTTTATTGTACTCAAGTCCATAGGCCTGTCAAAACAGATGAAAAGTAAATATAAAATTTAGAACATCATAATCAATGTTATCACTTTGACGAAAGACACAATTCTGTAGGACATTTAAAAAAGAAAAAAAGGTCAAATTATTTAAAGACCAATATGCTCACCAAAGTGTGACCTTTGGTCTGAAAAGATGACCCATTTTACTATCAACATTTCAAAAGGAATCAAGTGCTGTACAACCCACTATGCTTCAATAGCTCCATCTCGACTGATAGTACCCATTTCCAGCCGGACATACACATTAAGCATAGCTGCCACTCAGGAATTTCAAAAAAGGAGGAAATTCATGCGAAGGCGGACGCGCGCTCTCCGAAGGCCGGAGTAAAACCAGTGAGATCCAGAGGCAATATATACTGGAAAATCTAGCCTATGGTTTTGGAAGGGAAAACTGTCATATTTGTTAACCATAGGCAACTGAATTAAAATGTATTTGAAAAAAACAACAACAATAAAAAACCAAAAAAACAAACAAACAAGCATTTGTTGAGTCAATTTGACAGTTTGGACTTGGTGACTAAAAATCCAGTGTTTGTTGCAAGCTGGTGTCTTATAAAAAGATTTCTTTCACTTTAAACGAGTAGATCTACATCGTTCACTTTAACGAGTAGATCTACATCGATGTAGAGCGCGCGCAGTATTGGATCAAGGAGGCATGACATCTTTGCCGCTGTACTGAGCACTCCTGTACAATTGCGGTCCCGTTTGCACTTAACTTACTAGTCCTTCTGTAGTGTGTAGATCTAACCTGAATTAAAATTATAGCCTAGGCTATCTAATCTAGATCTAGAATCTAGATATCTAAATATGTGTAAATCTAGATTATATCTAGAGATAGATTTAGATTTAGAGTGTAGATTCACTTCAACAGCCACAATAGCCGTCATGTAAACAAACGGGACCGCAATCGTGCAGGAGTGCCGCGATTTCTTTATCGCACCAAACGCAAAGTGCAGCAAGCTGAGCTCCTTTTATTTTTGCATTCTGCATCAATTTCTCTCGAATTTCCGCTGTTTTCAATGACAACTCGGAGTGCTAACGTCCCGATGTCCGATCGACACTGTGTTGCTCCACAATAAACAAAGTGAAACTAGCGCTAGGCTCAGAAGAACGGAAGTAGAAAGCTACGGGCGGACATGCGCAAGCTGCGTTTTCGTCTCTCTCCCGGTTCGGTGTTTTCCGCGTGTAAAAAAGTATCCCAATTTGAACTCCAGTGGAGGAAGGAGGAAAGTAGCGGGAAAAGCTAGATGAAGCGGAGTTTCCGCTATTTAGCGGGAAAGTGGCAGCTATGATTAAGAAAAAAATACATCAATTTTTTCTTTCTGAAGGGCAGAGCTCAATACCCAGTCTCAAACCTGACACCAAAAGAATAGCTTTGCATTGCCTGCAGCACCACAATATTCCTCAAAAGGACGTTACACACTATGGTGCTATCCCTCAATGCTCAATACAAGACCTAGGTTCCCTGCCCTGTCAAACAGCAAAACACTAGAAAAAAGTTCTTGAACGAGAAAAAAAGTAGGGAACAACGATAGTATCTACAAGTTACCTTAGTACAACACTGCGATACCCCGGAGCAATATCATCAGTAACTGGATGTAAAAAGACGTTAGCAAATCTGTGGAGGGTCAAAACAACAATTGTATATAGATGAAACACTTATTTCAGGCATCTCAACATAGCATGCAAAAAGTGAAAAAAGAAACCCTTTCACAAGTTATAGCACACTTTCTGCTCTGAGACAATGCAGTCGTTTTCTTTAGACTTCACTTTCTTGAAAGCTCAATGAAATTGCAATACAATAATATTATAATAATAATAATAGTTATAATAATAATAATAATATTAGCATGTTTTATATACTTCACAAGTATTATTATCCTAGCAGACTCTAGAACACCCAAAAACATTCTCAGCTTCCTGGGAAGCATACAGTGCAAGCTGCATGTTTCATGCGATCAAACACCAACAGACTGACAAGGTTTTTTCACTGTCTATAGCCGGGTACCCATTTCCACTTAGGTGAAATGAGGAAAATTTGTGTCAGTAAAGTAACTTTCCCAAAGACACGACTGTGTCAGTAAAGTACCTTTCCATAAGACACGACTGGTGGGTCTCTTTTGCATTTTCCAGAATGGTGGGAAAAAAAGGACAGGTACCTTTAACATAAAGACGTGACAGATGTAAAATATCACCCACAGAATAAATAGCTCTTAACTTAATGTCATCTCCATGAGATAAATGTTAAATATCCTTAATGCAATAAAAATGACATTAAATCTTTACAATAACGAACTTCCCATGCTTCTAAAATTTTGAAAGTTAAACCCCCCCCCCCCCCAAAAAAAACTTGTCTTTCTAACTGAACCTTGGAAGCTTCCCAGATATCTTTCCTTACTTGTGTGTGGCAGCAGCTCTCCATACCAGCATGATGGACTTTTTCCACTGTTTGAACGACTTCTCTTCATCAGTGTCACTACTGTTTCACGGAACAAGAGAAAAAAGACAAATAGAATCCACTAGAGCTGGGCCTTAGAGTCGATTCCGGAACTGATTCCAACTATCAATACTACGGAAATAAAGTTCCGTCTCTCTTTTACAGTTGCCAGTTACTTTTATCATTAAAAGCTTCTTTAAAAAGGAAAAAAAGTATTTATTAAAATAAGAAATAGAAGTTGATGCGTCGTAGTGTTCCGAAATCAAGTTTATCTTAAATAGTGAAGATGTTCGGAGCCAACCAGGTACATTGTAACCACCGGGAAAAATCACATCATTAGAAAGTAAGTAATTGGGTTCGGAGTCGACGCCTACGATTCCTAGCTTTCAATAATCGGGAACCTAGCCGCCGAGCCCTAGAATCCACTACCCACAAATGAGGTTGAAATTTATCAGTTACAGAGAAGTTTTAGAGTCTAAATTGATTCAAAAAGTAATCTGAGCTTCATAATAGCCCTCATTAGCATATAAAGCTTTTATCCTAATTATAATCCATAACATCCACCCAGACATTTCGCTCCAAATGATATCTCAAACATTATAAATAATACTATTTCAGTGATTTGAAAGCTAATTACATCAGTGATCAGAAGCATTGTAGGTTGAAAAACCTATGGGAAATTACCCCTGAGAAGAGAACTAGAAGAAGCCACAATTATCAAACACAGATGCACAACAGGCTTCATACAAAACATAGAGGAAATATGTTGAACTTGACATTCCAGAGACTAAGCTACAATTTTAAAAACCTCACAATCAAAAAAAAAAAGAGTAAATAAACTTGATCTGTAGACAATAGAGTAAGAAATGCAATTCTCGATTCACATGCATTCTTATCCTACCATCCCAAAAGTAGTAAACCTTAAATTCGAAACAAGACTCTAGCATTTCTTACCACATAGAAAGAGACGCTGGGCTGTTGGGAAATGACTCAGAGAGAACCGAGCTTCCATGTACTGATGCCATATTATCCCCAACAACATCATCACTCTCTCTTGCATCATCATCGCTTAGCTCAACATCACTGTGTCTGGAACTGCCCCCATCATCCTTCAAGAATGGAAACACAATTGCACATAAACAAGCTAAAAAGGCAATATCTCTGAATATGCTAAATGCTACGAGTTGCACCAGAACAGTATCAAAATCACCTCTATAAAACACCTACAAATGTTGCGCATAACAAGAACATCAGAGCACAAAAGCACTAGTACCTCAAAATCTCAGAGCATTTACTCAAACATTGTAACCAATAAACTTCAGAAAGTAAGATGCGCAATTGGGCAGTTACAGGCTTTAATAAATTTTTGTTGGAAAAAAAAAATAACGTCAAGGCTGCGAGCCACTCAAGATATAATACTAAATTAAATAAGATCCACTGTGGAAGAACAGTACGGAAAAACTACCTGCAGTCTATAACCATTGTGATAAACAACGTTCTTCATCACATTAAAGAAGCGATATGAAAAATTTAGTATTCTAAAACACTACAGTAGTGCCTGTAACAACAAAAAATATTTTCATATGAACAAACAAAGTAAGTTTATGAAAGTTCATTATAAAAATAATTGTATTCAATTTTATTTAAAACATATTCATGCTCTACAGTATGCTATATATGCGCTTCACAACTATTACTATCATTACCCCAGCAGACCCTAAAAAACTCAAAAACATTCTCCACTTCCCAGGATGCATACTGTGCAGCCTATACTAACAAACTGATAAGATCTTATGTCGTCTGTGATTCAGGTACCCATCCCCACCTTGGTAAAGTGAGGAAAATGTGTGCAAAGTGCGCTTCGAAACCTTTCGGTAACAAACCCAACAGCCTGACCACTAAAACACCCACACCACCTAATCCGTCAAAGCTTCAGCTGTTATTTCTCCTCATAACAGTTTTTTTTTAAATAAAAGATTCTCCTTCCACAATTTTAATATCCTAACACAATGAACAATGAAACCACACCCTCTACTAACAACAGTTCCACTCACTGTGCAACTCTTTCTCGTACTCATCCGTGGGCTCCTCAAGACTTTTGATCTTCCTGCAAGTACACCGAAAAAACATTGATGATTCACTGGGTATTTTTAGTCATTCAGTCACAGATTTGTACATGTAATGATGTACTTGGACAATGTCCAGTGAAGAATATACAAACTGTTTGATTTAAACAGATAAGAAATATATCATTAAATAGATATCCTGTTCAAACTTCTAAGCAATTTTCTGATATAGGAAGACTAAATCAAACATGATAATTTATTTTCTAGATAGACAGCTTGAAATTCCACAGAACAGGCAGGGTAACCAACATGTGGATGAATCTATTCATATATAAATAATAAAAGACTACAAATTTACAGAAAAAAAGAATACTTCAGAGGACTATCATCAGTTGCAGAAACAAAAGAGTATCCCAAAACACAGTGCAAGATACACAATCAGAAAAAAGCTCACCTTTTCCTCTACCACCTCTTTTGCTTCCCGTCTCGCTCACCCTTGAGCTTATACTACTTGTTGGGGAGAGAGGCTCATCTTTGATCTCAGGGAAGTCCTGTTCAGAAACGATGCTCTCTACAATCTTCTTCAGAGGAAGTGCGCCGTCTTCCTCTTCTTGGCTCTGAAAGGTTAATGAGTAAAAACATTAGAAGCTAAAATCAGGAAGATGTATCAGTGCTCGAAAAATTTAGTACATTGCAAGTTATCTAAGATTTAATCAAACAAGGTTCTTTTGAACCCCACCTAAACAGGACACCTAGATGATTTAAGATTAGAAGAAGGAACTTGTCTAACTTGGAAATAGCTAGCACAATCAGCCCATTTCTCTCCCCCAATGAAGAGGGTGGACAAGGTTAGACTGTCAATCTGTTATCAGACACCATGAAAACACAAACATCAAAAATGTTAAAGAAATATCAGATTTGTAAATAAACAATGCTGGATGAATATAAGAAAATCGATAAACGCAAGGTCTTGCCACTCTTTCCTTTCCACCTTTTAAGAATACATTTTTTTGAAACAGAAGAAGAAGAATCAAATTCAAGAGATCCAATATTAGAGTATGACCAATATACAATTAGACAACAAAATTTGAAAGCAAACCTAATACACTATATACTAATGACAACAAAACAATCACAAACTTACATTTTTGTCAATCTCCTCCTTGATACTGTCCACAGCTTCAACATCCAGTTTTTCCACACTGTCTTTCTTGTCACTGTCCTGAGTGTCCTCCTCCTTCACAGAAACTTCAGTCTCCATTGACACTTCCTCCTCTGCACCTTCCACAATTGGCAAAGAATTCCCATCTGAGAGAGGCGTGGCTGAATCTTTCTCCTCTATCTCCACAGAGGTAACAGTTTCTTCTGTGCACAACAAGAAAAGTCAAATAGCAAAGAGAAAGAAACATTGTTTACATCATAAAATGAGGTCATTTTGATTACAGTGTGTGATGTTTCACATATCATTCCTAACTACAGTTGATCCTGTCCAAGATAACATTTAATTATTGAGGAAAAAAGAAGTCACCTTAGACAAATGTTGCTCTTAGACAGTGTCAATACAGTACAGGAAAAACTAGGGGAAAGTGGGAAGTGGTCATTCGTACAGCTGGTTGTCTACAACACGTGTTAGTTGCAACAGGTTTGACTGCACTTTTTAAGCATGGTTTAATTATTCACTTTCACTATGAAGTTTACGCTTTTTCACTAAGCACATCAATGAGACATTAGTTGTATAAAATATACACAAGAAAAAAAAAATATGAACAGCAGGTAAACAGCCACTCGTCCGAATTGCAACAAGTGTCACATTAAGAAGAATGATAACTTGAAGCTAATAACATTTGGTCAATATCTTTGCGATTCGTAACTTGAAATTTTTTTCAGAAACTGAGCAAAGCTGTGCATAGCATAGCTCAAATATGGCAATCATTAGATCAAATATGGCAATCAATAGAGTTAAGTATAGAGGATAAATTTGCAAAGCTTGCAAGTCAATTTTGAGGAGTGTAATTTTTGTCCGTTTTCAACAAAAACGTTTTTCAAACAGTCTCAACATACACATGTGCATAATATTTCTAGAGTGATGAAATTATTACAGTTCACTAAAAACACGGTTCCCTTTACTTGCAAATGAACTTCTCCAAAATGGGGAAAAAAGTACATGTGAGAAGTAAGCAAGTCATAAATAAATGTAAAGCTCAACACATAAAAAGAACCCACCTGTGCTGCCAATTTCTCCTATGTCTTCCACAATAGATTCCTCTATCAAGACTTCAGAATCTGTTCCTGTGGTGGCAGCTCCGGGAAAAGCAGTGTCATCCAGAGCATCTGAGGTCAACCCTGCTGTGCCTTTGCTTTTACTGCCCGCTTGGACAGTCCCTTTTGAGGTAGACAACAACCGAGACAGGGTTGGGGCAGCTGACAAAACAAAGTGTTCAAGTGTACTTGAATAAAACGTTAGATGTCTTGTCCAATAACTAACTCAAGAGCCCATAATACCCACATTTAAATTTTCTGACTCCTCAGTTTTTACATTTAACTAATATCCAGGAGCACTCACATAAACATAAGCACTCAGAAGTCCGAAGTACAAGCTTCTTACAAAATAATGAGAAAAAACAAACAAATAAAGAGTCTACTACTCATTCCCAGCTGAATAGATAGGAGATATTCCACCTTATCAAAAGGACCAGCTGTATCTTCCTCATTTAATCAATGTCAAAAAGATGGAGTGTTGTGGCTTCCAAACAAGAGACTTCACACTTGGAAAAAAATAAGTCCTCATTGTAGACAGTTACAATTCATTTAATGGGACCGTTGTAATCTGCAGTTGTAGTGTTCTGTTCAATAGCATTTGATAATAAGTGTTGTTTTCGTGAACTATGTTTAGAACAGAGTTTTCAGTATACAAAAAAAGAAATGCAGACGCACAGCTGGAGGGTGGTGTGGTCAGCTGATCATCCTGAGTGACTGGAACCTTCAGCAATGACTTCTGTGATTGAGACTGAGACAGCGCATTCTGACCAGCCTGCAACTGCTCCTGGACTTGCTCCTGTTCCTGTTCCTGTCAGACAGGTTTGGAAACAAGGAAAATATTTCTGTGATGCAAATGACGGGAATATAACACTCAAGGTACAAAATTTGAGAGTTGCACGCTGTTAGATGCTTACCAGATTTTTAAGTACAGTAGTCTCCGCCTCAGATCCCGGTGCTCGGGAGCAAGGAAACGCGGGACCTTAGGCGAACCGGGATCTTAACCGACGAACCCAGGAAAGAATCTAGGTTGGCCCATGTTAAGGCTCACAATCGGTAAAATGGTCTCCCTCCACTCTACAATGAGCTGACGTGCCCCCTTGGTGCGTTTATGGCATATGGCGAGCAAAGAGTGGTTAACCTTGATGACCTATCACGGTGCATAGTGGCATGAGGTGAGACATTTTCACTTATTATCCTATCATGAGTCTCAGGATCTACGATTATCCAGTTGCCCCTCCTCTTTACCTGTCAAAAATTTATAGCTTTCCATCTCTGACCGAGCCCCCCCCCCCCTCCAAACCGCCTTTGTCGTTACACACCATTACGTTGTGAACGCACCAATTAAAATTCAGTCTGTCTCACAAATTCAGGAGTAGAGACAACTCCTGCAATGGTCAAGGAGGAGTTCACGGTTCGATGTGATCCCGCCAGGAGCGAACTCGTAGGCCCTACCCACCCAGCGAGTGATGCAAGCTTAGGTGGCGAGCTCAGGTGTGAGTGCGATGTGTGGGGAAAACAAACGCGTCGGTCAGTTCATACCCCGGTATGATCCCGTCTGGGGCAAACATTGTATCGCTTCATCGAGTTTTACAACATATATGTGATCACATTCACGATAGTGGCTGATCTTTGACGCGACGGACAGTTTATTGATCTCAACTTTTTACTCTTGCTTGATCGGCTGTGCCCACCCGGTTTTTTTTTTTTAGCAAATTATGATCTGAAATGCGGGATCTTAGCCGAATGTAGACCATCAGAGCGGGATCTTAGGGGTGACTTTTGTATAGTAAAAATTCTGTTTTCCTAAAACAACGGGATCTTAAGCGAACCGGGATCGTAAGCTGTGGGATCTTAGGTAAAGACTACTGTAGTATGTTTTGAAATATATAAATCATTCCACAGACATATAGTCTCAGAAATCCTCTCCCTAAATTGAATGGACGCAACAAACTCTTTAGCCCAGTGTTCTCTGAATCCAAAGCTGCTGCTCAAATAAAAGCCACAACCTTTTAACTTTGAAAACAATTTTTGCCTAAGAGGTCACCAGCTGTAAAACTCTTGAGTCCAGGGTCTTGGCCAAAAATAATGGGAAACACATTGTCAACCAATACAGACATAAAATTACTACTTTGGAATATCATTAAAAACCTCTACAGCTATCATTTAAGTGTACAGTCCGAGACCTTGGTACAAATTGTTGTTAACTGAACTTTCAATGAGTAACGGCAACATGTAATGTAACTGTCTGACTAGGAAATAAGCCTAGGAGACCCAAAACTCTGCAAAGGACATACCCGCTTCAACTGCTGCAAGCCTGTGGCAGTTTTGACATTGCTTTTTAAGAGAGAAGACAGTAGATGTGAAGGTCCAGATGACTTTGTAGAGACCTCAGTTGTTGCTGAAGATGATGACGTGACAACCGGCGTGGATGTGAGGAAACGACTCAGGGCAGCCTGCTGGCTGTCATCATCCGTCAGCTGTAAAAAATATGAAACATTTGGAAAATTCAAACATGGAATTAATAGGTACAGTAGTTGAGTACTATTAATTCAGACAGAAATGATAGGCAACAGCTTACCAATCAAAGCATCCATATCAATTTTATGAAAGAAGAAAATCAGAGCAGTAATATACAATTATTTAGTGAGTCATCAGACCAACCCAACCTAAATTTTTTTAAAGTTTTAACACAATCCTTACTTTTGCAACCTAAAGTGACATACACAATTCTGCACCAATACTGCCTCAACTGCCTGATGTGAAATCATTGACTCAGTACTAATACAGCACAAATAAGTTCTATTGTGACAAGTGTTAGTTTCTGGTGGCAAATTCCTGAGCTGCAAGGATTGGGTTAAAAGAACTACAGAAAAGAGAAGATTGAAAATTGCATCCAAACAGGTATTTTCATTTAGTAAATTAATTTTCCCTGAAACAAATATGGTCCATGGAAGAAGTGAATACAAAAAAAAACAAAACATCAGAGTGCCCCCTAACCATCTGTGAGCTATATAAAATAATTGAGTCTGGAATTCTTACAGATATATCATCAACTGACTCTTGGGTTGTATCATCAATCTCTCCTGTCACTGACAAGACATCAGGGAGATCCAAATCTGAAACACATAGAGTATACTCAATACTACATAAACCAAAACCAAGAAAGGAACAAGAATCATTTCCTTATACATTACAGCTTTATCTCCAATAAGGAACACCACACTCAAACAAACAAAATTGCGCTCATATGACCTTATGCAGTTGCGAGCGCCGTAAAACCCTGTACTAAACTTAACTAAAAATAAAACTTTTTTTATTGCAGGGTGTTTTCGTGGACAATCTTAATACGGGGCAAAAATAACCCAATATACAAATTGTCATTTAGTTCCTTAAGGCGATATATTTGCCTCAACAGCTCAAGTATTATGGCTTTAAAGTAAGTAAATCTTGAAAATTTAATTTTAAATATCAAAACAACCAACCTAAGGCTTTTGAATCATCATCTGTTTCTTCTTCCTTCACCTTGACTTTATCTTTGTCTTCCCTTAGGAGTTCTTCTCTGTAGACAAAAAGAAGAAAAGAAATAAAAATATTAACATTTTGAGGCATACAACAGCAGAAACTAACCCCCCCCCCACGAGCTCAGCTAACAATTAATATATGAAATTCAAGATAAATTGAACGTCATCTACAAAAGATTAGAAACACAGCACTACATCATGTGTACACATGTGCCCAAATTCTTAAATTCTAATCCTGCTACAAATTGAAGACAACTTCTACTAAATTAAAAATAAAAACAATTACATGATACACAATATTATATGCCATCAGAGCCAAAAGGAAAATAAACTGCAACTTCTCTACACTGGACTACAAAACCTCTGCCCTCAGAATAACATATCACTATCAGTACAACATTAGTTTAAACAGGAAAAAAAAATTATATTCTTACTCTTCAATTTTCTCCCATTCCTCTGCCAATCGATCATCCCACTGGCCATTCATGATTTCACCAACTTCATTTTTTAATTGTCTGTGGAATAAATTGTGAAAAAATACACTAGAGCATGCAACAAATAAAAGGCACCAAAAATCTCCATCAGCGTAATATAAGGTAATCCACACCATCAGCTTTATCTTGACAGTATTTCAAAATTGCCCATTCTCGTAATAAATTATCCAAAAAAAACTGTACAACCTTTTTTGTTAAAATTTTCCTCCACACAGAAGTTTTGCGCTTCAAATTCGACACAACATTAGGAAGTCAAAAGAAATTTGTCTGATATTCATTTTAGAAAAATCCACTGAATAGTTTTGCTGTAGACAGCGCGTAAAAAAACAAACCATTTTCAGCTATGTTCCCATTTTGTAGCATGACGCACTAGTTCGCATTAGGCCTACCACTAAAAATCATAACGATTTGAGCCATATTGCATACTACGGTAGTCTAACAGGCCAACAGAATAACAGAAGTTTGCAGATAGTTTTTCTCAAGTTTCCTTTGCCTGCTGAGATCATGGTTAAGATAGGTAAAGAGCAGAGAGCTTTTTGTATTGAACATTTCCTCACAACCAACTCATTTCATAAGCTTTGCACAAGGCACGGAAATAATGCTAAAGTGCCCTTAAGGCCTTCTTTGACGTCAAGGGTGGAAATGGTTCATCAGTTGGTAACTGTAGAGAATCAGAACTAAAATTCCCAGACAAAACGACCATTTCAGACCAAACATACACCGTTCGCACCCCTTTAAACGTCACCAGGGTGCAGAATTCAGTAGATGAGCCCCACGAGCAATAACTTTCCTACGTCTCAACCGTCCACATTCTCAAGGCAGATCATCTACAACTGTACCATTTTCCCGTTTGGAAGCAATCAGAGGATAGCAATGTGTTCATGATTCCTTGATCGTCTTGAAAAGTGGGAACATTTCCTCTATGACATTTATTGGTTCCTTGGCAAAGCCCATATTCACCTTTCAAGTTATATCAACTCCACAAATGCTGTTTATTTGGGCAACCTCACCCCCTTCCCTATTGTTTCTAGAAACAGCTCCACACTGTAAGGTGTACCGTGTACATGGCTTTGATTACTCATAGTTGAGCGGATCCTTGTATTTGGCCACCATTGAACATTACGAACGAAGAGTTAAAATGTGTCAAGTCCAAAGGAGGACATATAGATCACTGGTTCTCGGAATTTCAGAATTAAAAGAATATTCATTTAACTCTGTAGGAGATTTTAAGAAACTGTTCAAAAGTTACATGGATGGAAAGATTAGATTTTTAAAATAAAAGGAAAGGAAAAATCAAACAAATCATTTCATGACTTTCCTTACAAGATCTTTTAAATTGGTGCATGTTGCATTTATGGGTGGTTTTTATAAAAGCCATTTCCGTTTTCAAAAATAAGCTTCTTCTTCATGAATTTTATGTCAAACAAATTCCTTTTGAATGAATTTCATCTATTCCAAATTACAACATTCTAGTGCTAATTTTGTGTGAGATATTTAGAAGAAAAAAAGTTGTACAGTTTTATTTTGGATCATCCTGTTGCACTACCACACCAGCCCCCCCGTCATTTCCTTTAATTCAATTCCATAAAAAGACAAAATAGAGAATCATTTAGTTTGCCTGCACAAAATTGATGACCAGTCCTTTTAACCTTGTTTCAAGAATATCTCAAGAAAACTGTGCCAGACAACGTGTTTCAAGCATACATACTTCCCTCTTTGGTCATTACATCTCTTTGGGATAATATGTGATAAGTTCCCTACCTTTTCCACGGTGGCTGGCCACAATCGTCTGTTGGGTCTTGACCAACCCTAGTGAGTGACACACATTGCTATTGTGCCTCAAGACCCTTCAAATACATAAAAAGAGATCAATAAAACAAAAATTTTAAGACTTAACAAAACTTTACTTGAAAGTTTGCTGCATCTCCATGATCTCTTTCTTCAACTGCTCACTCCTTTCAATAGTCATTTTCCTCATGATCTGAAGGCTGGGTGCGTCAGACTCAGATTTATCTTTATCCCCTCTTTTGCGCCTGTCAAAAAATAAAGAAGTGATTGGAGCTTACATTAATGAGTCACTTATTAGCTGCCTACTGATTCTAGTCTTTTAAAATACATCTTCGACAAGCTGTTAAAATATATTCTAAGCCCAGAAAGCAAAATTTACAGGAGAGAGAAAAAACTGTTTCGTTCTTTTAACAATTGTACGTGACTTATGTATTTTTTCTTGTTTTCTTCAAGATTTAGAATTTGGATTTCTTCAAAATATTTCTTGAACACCTTCCACTGTTACAACAGATTAAGAAACCATTTATTTTTAAATTAAAATTTGGGGCTTAGTACATTTAACAACTGGCCAACGATACGACTTAACTGACTGACCTCTTATAAGTTTACTTCCTTATATTGGTCTTAACAATCAATCCTTGTATTATCTGCTCTCATAGCACAGTTTTGACAGGTTGGAGGCAAGAGGTCATCAAAAGCCATCTGATTCACAGCCAAAGGCAAAAAAATGAACAAATGCATCTATCATAGTAAGCAAGAAAAAAAAAAACCTAAGCCAGGCTTACATTTTGACATGTGGCCAACTCACACAGAGTAATCAGTCTTGTTTACAATAATTACACAAAATTCAGTCTCAATGCTAAATCGTTTACATTCATTAGTAGAGATATTGGTTTCTCCTGATGATTTGTCAGTTATATAGTACTGTCATTCCATTTATATAAATGTCTTAAAAAGACAAAGTTGTAGTTTTTTGTGGGTTTTTTTTTTGGGGGGGGGGGGGGTTTTAACATCACTTACTTTGGTTGTTCTAGCTGCTCCATCATGTCATAATATTGTTGGACACAATTCTGGAGAAAAAAAAACAAGACAAAAAATTATCAGATCTTTGTGTTGAACCACATCAGAATCATGGCAGGTCTCTATAAAACACTGGTAGTATTTCAGTAACTTCTGTTCTTTGCTGATCGAAGAAACATTGAAACATTGATTTAAAAAATAATAAATTTAAAAAAAAAAACAGTTATAAATAAAGATATTTCTCTTCAAAATATAGCTCAGAAAACATAGCTTTTATTATTCTTTTTTTTTCTTTTTTCTTTTTTTTTTTTTTTTGGGGGGGGGGGAGAGGAGGGGTATATCGAAACCTATTGCTATTCAATTCTATAGACAAACAAAATAAATTTGGGCAAAAATGTACCCACACATCATACTTATGCATGTAATCAGACAAACATACTTTCTGGTGGAACCATTCTGATGGTCTGCTGGGATCTGCATAAGGTTTGATAGCTCTGCTGACAGACACCCTGCAAAGAAAACATTTTTTTTTTAAATTTCAATACAGACAACTGCTTTAAGATCCTGTAGTATAAATCTTCCCATGTTTCACCACTCTTCCCCCCCCCCCCCATAAGATACTGTTCTGGTCTTCATTCTGCCCGATACTTTGTTCACAGCCACCAAGTAATGAGTGGGGGGAAAAAACAACCCAAACATCTCAATGCAAACTATTATCAAGAAAGCATGATAAAGACAGAGACATTAGTAGTTAAAAGTATTACAAGAGCAGATCTGTGTAGGTAACATTTCAATTTAATCATTAATCTCTATCCAAAATGGATAAGCCCCTGGCCTGTAAAAATGTTAACCCTTACAGCCCATCATGTATATTTTTTCTTATGAGTTCTTAAATTTCCCAATGGCCCAGTCCCATATAATATTTCCCTCAAGGGTGCCAGCCACCTCAAACCCAGTTGCACATTTTAACGTATTTTATCCCATATAGTTGTCTCTGAAAAACATATTACAAGGTACCTTTTTAAAATCTTGAAAAGCAGAATAGAAATTATTTTAATGTCCGAAAAAATTACAAACACAATCAGTATGAGCTGAGCAGGACGAGTCAAGGAATCCAGAGTTACCTGGTCTACATGAAAGTGAGAGTTAAAAAGTAGTCCTATTTTGTAAGTGTTAAGAAAGCCTTTGAAAAAGAATAAAACCTTCTTAAAAATAGGCCAGATCCCTTTATAAGGGGGCGAAAAAGACCATTACAAAGTAATTAAAAAACCAGTGGCATATATAGTAGACTATTCTTGAGATCAGGTAAAAGAGAGCAGAAGAAAAAAAAACAACAGACAATCAAAGAAAGTTGTAAAATCACTGACAGGAGTGGGAATTACGAACATTTCAGAAGATAAAATTGTCATATATGAGGTTCCTTTGCACTGCAAACCAACAATGCATTTCTTTTTTAAAAGCTGTATAGCTATACTATTGTATCCCTATACTGATTTTTAAAAAGGTCTTGTTGTATCTAACTGAAAATAAAACACTTGATCTGTCAGTTAGAGAGGCCTTTCCTTCCACTGTAGTGATGCTTGCTCCGATCCCAATTCTGATGTAGTTTCCATCTTTTTCTTGGTTGTTCCCTACCTCATTTTCCAATCAGTCTTCCCAGTTTTCATGTACTTGTACATGCCAAAAGTAACTGAGTTTCTCTATCCCAACTAAATCAAAGAATACAAAAACTCTTTCATGAAACATAATTTGTCCAGGATCTCACCATTCGGTGTATTTTTGCAATTCATGGCAATCGTGACACTTTTTTAAAGCATTCCCTTCTGAATATTTGTACTAATCTTGTTTTCTTTTTATTGACTGTCCATGCTTCAAGGCTAAACATAATAACAAATTGATGTACATATCTTTACTTAGTCTGTATGTGAACGTTCCATCATTTTTGGAAGCTGTTCAGCATTTCCGTTGCCCTTCTTCTTCTTTCTCTTGAGTGGTCTGACCATCTTTATGGATGCTGGTTCCTAAATACCTATCAAAGACAGCCATTTCAAACATCTGCTGTTTATATATTTCAATGTTCATTCTTATGTTGCACTAATCTGTGATTATATGTCTTTCTCCTTTGGTCACTGAAAATGTTTTATTGGTTGTGCCATCCAATTTCACTACCTTTTGTTGTTTTGAGTACAGGGATATGATGAATGCACTCCTACATGGAATGAAAGTCCATTTCACTCAGTGTTCTCCATAAGCTTTTGGAAATTCATAACCCTAAACAGCAAACCTTTCAGGAACTTTGAACAGCATTCTCCACAGGTTCCCTCAGAACTTCTGAACACAAAGCTTGTTAAACCCGTAACTCACAATCATACCAGTTTTGATCTCCAATCTTGAATACTGCACTTGCAAGACATAGCTTTTCACTTGTGGACCAAACATCAAGGGGTTTCTTTGGCTTCAGTTCTAAATGAAATAAAAACAAATAACACTTGCTGAGTTCATTTGTAACTTTTGTGAAAATACATATTGTAAGTGAAGAAAAACATGTGCGAGTTCTCAAAATAATTCTTAGCGAATTGTGTACAAGGTGGACCAAAGTGCTGAAATGCAGCTTCTTATAACCTACACAGTTATATTGTGCCCTTTTGTGAGTACCTCCATCTTTGAATGTCATTCATGTCCTGAAAGTTGTTTTTTAAGCCCCTTTTTATATTGATTTTTTTTCATCCATACTCGTAAAAAAAATCACAATTTAGCATTGCCGGCTTCAGTGGATGTGTAACAAAACAACCAGAAATGTTACAATGTCTGATCTTTTTTTAGTCTCAAGAGCAGAAAATTTAATAACCTCGCCACCACAACTAAAATTCCACTGATGGTACGCTGCGCTCCACAAATATACGGTAGTCAAATCAACCGAATTTTCCGAATCTGAACAAATCACTGGAAAGTGAGAATAATCGCTGCCTTAGAATTACAAAGCTATTCTGACATTTTTGGCCATTTTCCAATTTGAGTTAAGATCTACTTTAATTTTAACAAAGAAATTGAAACCATGAGGTCAGAAACCATAAGTCCTTCTATCTCTAGTTTACTCTGTGATACTCTATTAAAATCGTACGAATTCGGAGTCGTTACGCCGCCTATAGCCTAATCAAGAAATTCAAATAGGCCTAAGCCTAGATCTATATGCATTCGAAAAAGCTTAACGTGTTGCGACACTCAAAATGATTAACGTCAAATTTCTCAAAACTAGTAACTGAGTATTGTGCAAGAGATTGAACTTTGTAATTCTAGGGTAGTGAACCGAAATGCCGAAAACAAAATTAACCCTTTGAGCCCTTGCCACCGCTTCCACTGAAAAACTGCCTGTATACCTAGCCACCAGTACACTGGTGAGCGAGACCCCATTTCCAACCTGGTCCGCCTGAGCCTGAGACAAAACATGTACGGAAAACAGCATTTAACAAAACTTTATCTATTTGGACTCGGGTCCGAAAAATGTTTTATTTATTTGAACTCAGCTTTTAAGTGAGTTATTTATGTGAGTGTAAGGAGATTACATAATATTATGGTAGTGTTAATTGCTACAGAGTGACACTGTGACAACTAACGCGGCGTTAATTGCCACAGAGTGAACACAGAGCTCTTTTGCATTGACGATTAACATCATCTAGATCTATCATTTCCCAAAATATCAAGGTAACAAATAACAGTGCCCGGATATAATTGTTTTCTTGAGTGACTTCCCCTTACCCGTTTCCCCAGAACAGCAGAAGCAACGGTGGAAAGAGAAAAACGAAAGTAGTCATTGCCGTCAGCATCCGGTGACGCACAAGAATCTTACGTTGAATGTGACGTACAGGACTGTTTTGCATGTTCTTACGCTATCATGTTGAATATTTTAGAGAAATTGCGGTGTTTACATTGGATTCCTGGAACAAGAGTGTGATGAGTGAACAAACTTTGAGAGATGGGTCATTTCTGTGGTTATAGATTTAGCTTTTGTGCTTAGTGATTACGCTGTGGCAATTGACAAAAATTGACTTTTTGTCAACTGCCACCAAGTAAATTGGAGCTCTTTCGCGTTGGTGGGTAGATCTAGCTAATTGTGCTCGAGTGCTCGGTGTTGCGCATTCGCCTCTCTGTCCCTCTGTGTGTGTGTGTGTGTCTGTGTGTTTGTGTGTGTGTGAGTGTCTTTTCCTGACCCCCGTCCCCCGATTTATGTTCCCTGATATAACGTGAATTTCTACTTGAGTTTGTGTGCGTTTGTGACCTTCTACTTCTAGAATTGCATGTGTTGGTTCTACACCAAAGTGTAGGCTAAGGCTAGCCTAGATCTAGGCCTACGTCTCATTGAAAACACACCAAGTTGGTACCGTAGCTCTAGACTAGATGCTCGTCCAACAATGAAATTAGTTGAGAACAAATTGACCCATTAGACACACATTATATATGTATAATGCTAAAGATAGTGTTGTTTTCAGACTTGACACCGCTTCACTCGGTGGCAATTGACAAAAAGTTAATTTTTGTCAATTGCCACCACGTCACTCGGTGGCAATTGACGCTACCATCTCCAAAGGGAGTGTATACAGACCCGGTAACCGGGAACAAAGTCACGAAGTATACAGACCCGGTAGGGGAATTCTTTTGTGATTTCGGAAGGCCACCTCTATTCTCACCCCAGGTGAGAATAGCGCAGGCGAGTCTTTTGGCTATTCTCACCCAGTGTGCATTCACCGTTAGAACCTAGATCTAGGCCAACCAATTTTGCGTTCACCCTGAACCACAGAATTCTAGACTGATAACGGCAAAATTGTAGAATTCTGTGCCGTGAACAAACGTTCCATTACTACTGTTAGCCTTAAAAAAAGCGTACAATTTTGTCTTTCGGCAGTGGAGAGAGAGAGAGAGAGAGAGAGAGAGAGAGAGGAGTAGCGCGAGAACTTCCGGGCAAAACAAAATGGCGTCCCGCGCAGTTCAGCTCGATTCGAAAAGTTTTATAGCCATAGCATCTTTGTCGATGACCAAATTAATTTACTTTTGTGTTTTAACATCATTTTTAAACTTTGTTTTGGTCAATTTGATCGTCCACACCGATAGACAGTATTCAGAAAGACACAGAGAGAGAGAAGAGGGGAGGAGTAGATCTTGCGAGAACTTCCGGGCAAAACAAAATGGCGACCCGCGTAGTTCGGCTCGATTCGAAAAGTGAAATAGCCATAGCATCTTACTTTTGTGCTAACGTAATTTTTTCTTTGCTTTTATCCATTTGATCATCCACACCGATAGAAAGTATTCCGAAATTAGGAAAAACAGGTGTTTTTTCACACCGGGTGAGAATAGCCTATGGTGGCAAGTCTCATCCAGGGTGAGAGGTCGATCGTATTTCTATTCTCACCCCGGGTGAGGATAGGCCCTTCCATTTCGGAAAGTTTCAGCGCCCTCTTGGCTCAGGGTAGACCCAGGTTCTTCTAGATCTATGGCCTTGGTCTAGATCTAGATCTAGACAGACTGACATAAATCATTGATCTAGTTTCGAGGCTAGCCTAGACCTAGATCTAAATGAAGATTGCGAATGTCTTTCCGATGAACGATCATTTTTCCTCCGTTTTGGAGTTGGAGGAATCACAATTTGAAGAAAAGAAAAATGTCATAATTCCAATCGAGCAGTCACCCCCCCCCCCCCTCCTCTCTCCTCTGTGTATCGCTCGCATTCTCTTTTTCTTTGTTTGTCTCTGCATTCTTTCTCCCCACCTATTTCACACTCCATCTTTCTCTCGTTCCCTCCTGCCAACTGGGGTATGTCATACATTTTGCTAGCATAGCACTTCCCCCTGCTCTCTCTCTCTCTCTCTCTCTCTCACACATACACACCCACACAACCGGGTCTGGGCGCTGAAACTTTCCGAAATCACAAAAGAGTTCCCCTACCGGGTCTGTATACTTCGTGTTAGTTCCCGGTTACCGGGTCTGTATTGACTGTATACAGTATACACTTCGAACTCCAAAACCCGGCGCATTTTCGGCAGTTCCCACCCCGCAATTGTTATTCGCCAGTTTTGGCCCAAGAGTAGGGGGGTCTCCCCCCTGTCCTAATAAAAATGTGGTGGGGGGTTTCAGGGGGGCATGCCCCCTGAATTTTACCATAATTTGATGTTTTGCAGTTGTTAGGTTAGATATCTTAGCTGCTCGCATCAAACGTATAGTATAGATCTAGATCTAGAGTACATCCTGTGGTGCGATATACAGTAAGGGATCTTTTGTGGATATCTCTGGAAGTTACAGGTCGATCTTCATGATTTTTTCACCAGAAGTTAGAAAAACTTCCTCTCTATACGGTGAAGTGCATTACTGTAACAGCAGTTTAAAATTTCTATATGTTGTGGTGGTGTTTGTTTGGTAACGTGTGTCTGGTTTGGTGCGCAAGGTTTCTGGTTTGGTGCAACATATCGTCTGGTTGGGTGCGCAATAGTACCATGTTTACAGCTCTAGATCTAGCTCTTTTCTGACACTTTTCATCTTTCTCTATCCTGGCCTTGTTTTCTTTTCCTTGCAAGAAGTTCCTGTACTGACCATAACGGAAGGCCAAGGTCAATGAGGCGTGTTCTTTTTGGGAGCTGTGCACCCCCTAACAGGAGATTTCCTTACACCGTGCGTATGTGTTTTGATAATGGATAAAAAGAAAGGTGCTGTGGACACAAGAAGGGGAAAGAAGAAAACAAGAATAAGACTATACCTAGACTAGTATTTTTGAAGGAAAAGGACAAAAAAGAAGAAGAAAAAGACGTGAAAAGAAGAAATTGAAAAAGAAAGGTGCTGTGGACACAAGGAGGTGAAAGTAGAAAACAAGAATTAGACTATACCTAGACTAGTATTCTTTAAGGAAAAGGACAAAAAAGAAGAAGAAAAAGACATGAAAAGAAGAAATTGAACATTTTGGAGATGAAATTTCCATATTAATTAATTTTGACATGAATACATTAACTTATCATCTTCCAATGGCAATATAATGCATCCAAATGAAAGGAAAACAGTCTGTTTCAGTGTACAATGCAGGTCATAAAGAAATAACTTAATAAGTAAAACAAACAAAGGGCCTAGAAGCCACACTATCAATGCCAAATAGCAAAAAAGCCGATATTGCGCACTGAAACGGACTGCACAAATTTGGTCTGCATCAGTGCGCAACCCTATCTGGCATGTTCCTGGGCATTAACCCTCATCCTGCGGGAGCCGGGTTTATGTAGCCCGATAAGCCTATTTCGGCACCTCGCCTGCGTTCTGGTCCCGAGTCAGTGTAGCTCCTGGCTCAGCGCACGCGCAGCGCGCATCCTCTTACGTGTCATTCTGGTCCCGAGTCGGATCCCCATTCACGCAGGTCAAGTGTGTGTGCGTCAGTCTGCTTGAGTTTGTGTGCGTTTGTGGCCTTCTTCTAGAACCACCTGCGTTGGTTCGTAATCGAGGCATACGTCTCATTCAAAACATGCCAAGTTGATAGCTCTAGATGTTCGTTCAATGAAATTATAGAAGAAATTGACCCACTTAGACATGAGGAGCTCGAAAGGATAGTCAGGAAACAAGACTTCCATTTTTCTATACAAAATATTTCAAATGAGCTTGATTTTGTATGAAATGATACTACCTGATAAAAAATGAGCTTGTTTAATAGTTTTGAATACCCTTGTGCAGGTACAAAGAACAATTTGAGTGTAAAATATTAGGAAATTGACCTAAATTATCCCTTTTCGAACCTCAGGTCATTCATAACAACAAGAGCGTCCAGAAAGGTTATTCAAATGGGCGTAACTACTCGTAATGTCTTATCAGCTTGTGAGAGGGGGTTATTCATGTGTTTGTAACACTTTATAAATAGAAAGCTATGAAGGATAGAGCGTTATTTTCATCATCAGTTAACACACTCCTGCGGTATTCATGGCGAAAACACACGTTTCCCGGCGCGCGCGCTGTACACCAACAGTACACACTGAGTGACCCCGGCGGCCTGCCCGGCGAGTCCTACGTAATCGGTTGCTGATAAGATACGCATCTGGGCACAGACGCAGGATAAGAGTTAAGAAGCAGCCTGCGATAGTATTTATCGATTCTAGTATACATTCTACGATACATTAGAGCTATTTTAACTAGATGGGCTAAATAATCGACTACTCAAGCGCTTAGTAAATTCACCGATACCGGTTACGAAAACCATTAATTTGAATGGGCAAAACTTTCCGACACCGTAGAATCAAGTGTGTTGACGGGAACCTCCAAAACGAAAGTGAAATAAGCTGCTTCTGCGCATGCTCACAGAAAGTGACCTCGTTTTCGCTGTTCTTATCCAAAACACAAAGCAGGAGACCGGGGGTTGCGCACCAAAACAGATGCGCAGTGACCTGGTTAGACTCTAGATCTAGATCTCGATGTGTAGGTCAGGCTCAAAATATAAGGGGGTGGGAACTACCGAAAAAGCACCCAAAACCCTACATCTCCTTGCTCTGATACTCTAGCCCTAGAGGAATATGAGCACTAGAGTCTAGGGTAAATTTTTACTTTCACTCCCGCACACAGATGCACTGTTTCAGGGGTCAAACTGCTGTACTGTTTGCTGCAGATCACACATAAAGCCACTAAAACTGTCGCTTATCAATTATTTTCAAGACAATTTCAAATCTAACTGTAAAATATCAAATTATATGTAATTGCTGCAGATCACACATAAAGCCACTAAAACTGTCGCTTATCAATTATTTTCAAGACAATTTCAAATCTAACTGTAAAATATCAAATTATATGTAAAAACAGGGGGGCATGCCCCCCTGTAACCCCCCTGATTTTCTTTTACACCAGTGGGGCAGGCCCCCCTGGAACCCCCCCAATTGGTCCTAAGCATGTCTATCTCGGTTAAAAACAATCAAATATTTCAAAAACTATTAATTTGCGACGGAAATGAAGTTGATATTCGTGTTCAGCGCATCAATATTTAGTAGAAAATAGACAACTGGTAGCTGAGTGTGAGACGGGAGGGAAAGTACAAAAATACCGAGTCTAGATCTAGATCTAAATAACAATCTGTGACTGACAGAAAAGGGACTCAAATTGGTAAGAAAATTTTTTTTGCACAACTGAGTCTCAAGAGAGTCTCACGTTTTGGCAATTGCTCAGTAGTCTTTGAACTCTTTGTTGTTGTTGACTTGACTCGGCCTACTATCCTATCTGACTCCAGTCCAAACCACTCGGAGTGAGTGGCGCACAATATAAAAGGCAACATAGTAGGCCTAACTGCTTCTACAACAAGACAGGGTACAAAACTATAAGACTAATGCCATATCCATGCCAAGCTTTAAGTGAAACCAAAACAAAATCAAAACAAATTATTATGAGCCCTCACTTGGAAGAGTTGAACTGGTGGACGCCATCTTGATTTCAAACGCTAATTCCCAGATTTATTTGTTTGGGAAGGCCAAACCCAACTTTGAACCAGGCCCATTGCCCATTGACCGTACAAATAGTGCTGGTGATAGACATTTGATTTTTTTGTCGTTTTTCCATACTTCTTTCCATGTTAAATAGATGGTCTCTATTGTCCAAATTTTCAACTCTAATTTAATATCATGCAGCCGTTATGCTTTGATTGGGGGGGGGGGGAGCTTCTGTTACATTACGATGCCGAATGAAGAAGCAAGCGTGTTTCTCTTGCTTGTTGTATTGCTAGTTGGGAGGTAAGAATGTTTTTGTCTAATGTTTCTCTGACCCCCTCTTCTCGGCTTTCATCTTTTCCTAGTTCCTAGACCTGCCCCTTCCTTTGTGTCCATCTGATCTCTGATTTTGGGGAGCTCACGCCGATGGCTCTCACAGAAGGTAGGTTCAGTCTCTCTGGGTAGGAGAGGAGGCGTTGTATAGTATAGTGTACATCTATGGGAGGCGTTGATGTCTCCGGCGCAGGCCAGTCATGGGTAAATCTTCATAAGGTCCCTGGAAAGACTCCAGATTTGGCTTGGCAACGCATGGTTTAGCGATACTAGGCCAAAACTTGGCCCCTATTGATAGAGTAACTGAGTAACCCCAAGAGTTGTAGCCTACATACAAGTTTACCACCAGATCAGATAGCGAGAAACCGCCACATTCAGCGAGAACACAAGAACTATAACTAACTCTGAAAAGTTCAGGAGCGGACTAGACAAGAATAACCACAACCACAGACAACTTAACATCATGGGCAAATTACGGTATAGTTAAATGATGATATATCGATGAGCACAACGCGCAGGATAATGTACCGTTTCGTGGCCCGCGGCACGCGTTTTCTATGAACGCAATTTAAATCTAGTATTATATTCTCTCTCTCTCTCTCTCTCTCTCTCTCTCTCTCTCTCTCTCTTTCTCTCTCTCTCTCTCTCTCTCTCTCTCTCT